TAGATTTTAGAGATTAGATGTTGATTGGATTTGTTCTAGCCAAAAAATTTTTCCCAGTCTGTAGGTTGTCTTTTGGCTCCTTTGGTGAAGTCTTTTGATGAGCATAAGTCAACACAGGCATGAGATCTTGCACAAACTGATCTCTTAACTTCTACAACCATGTCTCCTGTCCCTCTCCTCCAACCCCTGTGCTCCATAGTCATGCCACATGGCTTCTTTGTGCATTTGCTCTTCCATATGCCGAGGACATCAGCACCTCCGCTGTTGATGTGCATCTTGTGTATTGGTGCCACATTCAACTTTAGAAACTGTAGATTTGTATATTTATCATGACACTCTTCTGGCACATGCAGGAAAATGTATTTTTCTAACATCAGCTTATTAATGGCAGTTAAGGAAGGGAAACCTTCTCATACCCATAAAGACACATTATGGCCTGAAGAACATCCTCTCTTCTTACACTCTTAATTGTCTGGCAGACAAACTCCTTCTTATCCTTTAAAACCAGCATAAATATTCCTTCCTCCTGAAGCCTTTTTTGATACGGTCTGCAAGAGAACAATTCCCTGGGCTAATGCAGTAGTTGGTTACTCCCTTCTTAACTGTGCTTATCATATTATAGTGTAATAATTGGGATATGAGTCTGTCTGCCCCCTGCACCCTGAGCCCTTTAAAGACAGGGACAATGTTTTATTCATCCATTTTATTTTATTGTGGTAAAATGTATATACATAAAATGTAAAATTTGCCATTTTATCCATTTTTAACTGTACAGTTTGGTGGCATTAATTATATTCAGTGTTTTGCAACCACCACTACTGTTTGTTTTCAAAACTTTATCACCCCAAACATAAACTCTGTCTTAGTTGTCTAGTGCTGCCATAGCAGAAATACCCCAAATGGATGGCTTTAACAAAGAGAAATTTATTCACCCTCAGTTTAAGAGGCCAGAAGTCTGAATACATGGTGCCAGCTCCAGGGCAAGGCTTTCTCTTTCTTGTTGGCCCTAGGGGAAGGTCCTTGTCATCAGTTTTCCTCTGGTCTAGGAGTGTCTTTCAGCGCAGGGACCCCGGGTCCAAAGAAGGCATCTCTCTTTTATATCTCAAAAGAGATTGACTCAATATATAATCTAGTAGATTGAGTCCTGCCTCATTAACTTAATTGCCTCTAATCCTGCCTCATTAATATCATAAAGGTAGGATTTACAACACATAGGAAAATTACATCAGATGACAAAATGGTGGACAGTCACACAATACTGGGAATTATGGCCTAGCCAAGCTGACACATATTTTTTTGGGACACAATTAAATTCATAACAACTTTGTACCCATTAAGCAATAACTCCCCTTTCCCTAACCCCTGGTAACCACTAATCTACTTTTTGTCTCTATGCAATTGCCTATTCTAGATATTTCATATAAGTGAGATCATACAATATTTGTCCTTTTCTGTCTGCCTTATTTTACTTGGCATAATGTTTTCTAGGTTCATTTGTGTCAGCATGTGTCAGAACATCACTTCTTTTTATGGCTGAAAAATATTCCATTGCATATATATACCACATATACACACCTATTGTATATCCATTCATCTGTTTCTGACACTTGGGTTGTTTCTACCTTTGTGCTATTGTGAATAATGCTGCACTGAACATTGGTGTACAAATATCTGTTTGAGTCCCTGCTTTTTGTTCCTTTGGGTATATACCTAGGAGTGGAATTTCTGGGTTGTATGGTAGTTCTATGTTTAACTTTTCGAGGAACCACAAAACTGTTCTCCACAGTGGCTGTACCTTTGTTCATCCTTTGATCCTTAGCATGTAGCCCAACATCTAGTACATAGAGTATATCACTAAACCTAGGCACAGTGGTCAAGTGCTATGGCTGCTAACCAAAAGGGCAGCAATTCAAATCCACCAGCCACTGCTTGGAGACCCTATGGGGCAGTTCTACTCTGTCCTGTAGGGTTGCTGTGAGTCGGAATTGACTAGACAGCAACAGGTTTGTTTTTTTTGGTTCTTAACAAATATTTGATTGTTTCACATGATTCAGATGCAGGTAAATACCCACAATATCTCATTTAATCCTGAGAACAGCCTCATGAGGCCTGTCATTATCTCATTTTACAGGGGAGGAAATTGAGATTAGAGAAGTGAAGTCACTTGCCTTAAGATGAACAGCTGGTAAATGGTGTGTGAGATGGTGCTGGGGTGTGGCCCTGCAGGACTTGCCATGCTGCTGCAGTTGTTTTTCCAGCGATTCTCTTGCTCTTCTGTTTTGTCTCTCAGGGTGATGATGCGGGTGTGCTGGCTGGTGAGACAGGACAGCCGGCAACAGCGAATCAGACTCCCACACTTGAAAGCAGTTGTGATTGGGCGCAGCCCCGAGACCAAGATCACTGATAAGAAATGTTCTCGACGGCAAGGTAACTGGCCACAGGAATGCAGAGATGACCATGCTTGGTTCCTTAGGATAAGATGCACATTTCCTGGGTGCTATTGATAGAAAACCTATTGTCTGCTATAAACAAAATCAGAGTGAACTCTTTTGGCCAACACCTGGGCCCCATTCATCCCTAATTCTGCCTTCCCAACGTGGTGACATTCAGGGTGGGGTTGGGTGCACGTTAGAGGCAGGCAGACTCCATCCTGTTAGCATGTGATAATGGAACTGAGGCCTGTATCCTGCTTTGCCCAGGAAAATACCTCACTGGGCAGCAGAAAAGATGAATTCTGAGGTCTCCAGGCTGAATCTGTGTCTGAGAAGTGATAGGGTGGTTTCATTTTATACATACTGCCCCACAAGAGGCTAGTATCTCTGTAAGGCCATAGCTTCCGGCTCTTGAAATGTCTTTCCTGGGGTTTAATGAAATGAAAGTCCTTGCCTTCAGGAAAAAGCCTTACTATGTGCCTCATTTTTTCCTGTAAACTTCAGTAATTGCACATACTCACTGCTACCACACCTGCAGCGTGACCCCAATGGCAGGGTTTTCCAAGGGTTCTGGACTTTGCAGCACTGATTATGGTCTTTCCCACATAGGTTAATCTAAATGGCAGTAAAGCCAAGCTTGAGTGGCTAGGCCCAAGACACAGATGCAGATGGCTGCTTCTCTCTCTCTGCTCTTCTCCCCACAGCAGCAGCTGCTTGGGGCCTGCATGCTTGCAGGCCTGTCCTCTGCTGTTCTCCCTGGTGAGCAGCTTTGGGATGTCTTCTTTACTCCCTATCTCAACCCAGACACTGTGTTCACTTACCTAAACATGAGTGTTTAATGTTACTTCTGTTTTATCTCTGCAGTCCTCTTTCCAGAACTTTCCCTTCACTTCCCCATCCAAGACCAGCTGAACTTGTTTTCCAGGAGTGTATCTTTTACCTCTTTGTCTGTTGAAGGCATCTGATAGTTTCATATAATAGTGGAAGCCTGATTTAACTGAGTTAATAGCTTGTGAGAGAGCCGGATCTCCTTTCTTGACTGCTGAGTCTGATCCCAAGTGGGCCTGGGGTCTGGAGTAGGGAGGTATGTGGGGGTTCATTGAAGCTGCCTCACTGGGATATTAGCAGTAGCTAAGGGAGTATGTACATTGTCAAACATTTTATGGAGGATTTGAAATTCTTAGAAATTGGTGGGATTTGGAGCCTCAGCCCCGTGTGTAACAGGCTAATAGGCCTGGGGAATTATCTGTCCAGTTGCCTGCTGGAGTGGGGCTTCATTGTCCTGTGGGGAGAACAGGAGCAGGTGCTTGCTTCTAAGCAATGTTTAAGTTTAACTTTTTTCCAATCTCTTTCAGTACAGTTGAAAGCAGAGTGTAACAAGGGATACGTCAAGGTAAAGCAGGTATATGTATTTGCAACTTGAATTTCCATGTTATACTTTTGATGATTTTCTTTTGCTGTTGAATTTAGAGTGTCCATGCCAGCCAATCTCTCATGTGTGGAAGGGTCTTCTGCCTTTCGAAGACTTCTCCCAACAAACCTAAATTCTGGCATCTCTGGGAAGTGGGGGAGGAATTGCTTCTGCCAGAGGAATGCAGGACAGGGGAAGAGAGATTGTTTTTTGGTCCTGGACAATGGCTGGGGAGATGTGTTCGAGCCTCTTGCATTTTCTACAGAAAGATGGGACTTGGTAGCATAATCAGTACTGTCATTCAGCCACATTTCAGATTAACAAGGGTTCTCTGGGCCAGCTTGGTATTGTAACTGACTTAGGAAACTGTTTCTGTGGAGAGAATGTGTTCCAAACTTCCTGTAGCCAACTTCCAAATGAACTTTTGGAAACAGACCCTGCCTGTAAATGGCTATATTATTAAAGGTGTTATTCCTATTGTTAAAATTATTTTCTGATTGTTTATTCCATAGGTAGGGATCAATCCCACCAGCATTGACTCAGTCATAATTGGGAAGGACCAAGAGGTGAAGCTGCAGCCTGGCCAGGTTCTCCACATGGTGAATGAACTTTATCCATATATTGTAGAGTTTGAGGAAGAGACAGAGAGCCCTGGCCTGGAAACACACAGGAAGAGAAAGAGGTCAGGTGACAGTGATTCTATAGAAAGGGATGTTGCCCAGGAAGGTGAGCCAGGGACGGGACTGGATCCCAGGAGCAGCCCTACCCAATGCTCTGTGCCTGCAAAGAAGGGGGAAGATGCATCGACCAAAAAGGTGAGGATAGGGTACTTGACAGATGATGTGGAGATTAAATGAGATATAATGACTTTAAGCGTTTTGTACACTGTAAAACCCAGTCATGTATAAGGGGTTATTAACCATGATGAGGGTTATTAAGAATGATGAAAGAGTCACTTGTTGGTGTGGAATGAAAATCATTTGGGTGAATGTCCCTTTATTTTTCTCTTGAATTCCTGAGGTAAGCCACTTGAAAGTAGAGCAGTAATGGCAGTGGAGTTAACAATGAGGCACTTCAAAATGGGTTGATCATTTATATGTCTATAGAAGGTTAGCACTGGAAAACATGTCCTAGATCATGTAATTCCCATCCTGATATCAAAGTGGAAACTTAGGGTGTAGATGGAAATAAGAGGGCAAAGAAGACACAATTCACATTGTGTAGCATTTTGGCCTCCATCTGGACACCCAGCTCCTGAAATAGAAAGAAAGTAGGGAGGGCTTTTAATCCTAAAAGGTAGTAGTTGTAAGCAAAGGGATCTAGTTTAAATTGAAAAAGCTAATCTTATTTCCAAGTTTGTTGGGAAATTGCTGTCACCCTCTAGATTAACTAATGTCAGATTTAACTGTTGGGATTTGTAATTTACATCGCCCTTTTTATGTCTTAGGAATCATTAGGCCACTGGAGTCAAGGTTTGAAGATTTCTATGCAGGATCCCAAAATGCAGGTAAGAATAAATTTTGGGATTAAAGTCTATTTCATGTGTTAAATGACCATTCCACAGAGGTCACATCTGTACTACAGATGAAACCAAAGGAGATCAATTCTTTGAATGAGATTTGTTTTTTTGGGCTGTTTTGCGACAACAAATAGCTTTTCCCATTGGTAGTAATGGTAGCAACTGGAATTCTCTGGAAAGAAGCTAAATACTTCAAATGAATGTCCACTTCCCTTTGTCTCTCCTAAACTTCTGGGTACTAGTAAGTTGCGTTAACCTTAGTGTGGTCCCTTTCAAGGGAGCTTTGTATTGTGACTGTAGTTACTGGGCTACCCTGGGGTTGATGTTAGGCATCATCCTGGGAGGAGCTTTGAATTCTTAAATTATATCCTGGATTGGTAGGGGCCAAGTCTGATAGGGCTTCTTGGAACACAGGTGCGTGCATTACATTACCCTTGGAGTAGAGAAGGGTATATTCGGATTTATGCCTGTAGCGATTGTACATCAGCTCCGTGGAACTATTTTGTATCCTGCATCTTCTGTGTATTCTGTATAGTACGATGGTTGAGAATGCTGACCCTGGAGTCAACTAGATCCGGGTTTGAGTCCTAGATTTCCCACTCGCTAACTATGTGACTCTGCTCAAGACAATCTCTCTGAGTCTCAGTACTCCCATCTAAAAATACTGGGATAATAAAACTCTTTGCGCAAGATTGTGGAGGAGATTTAGTGAATTAATGAATATAACAGCACCTGGCACACAGAATATGCACAATAGATTTCTGTTTCTTTCTCTGCGCCTCTCTGCCAGGTTTACAAAGATGAGCAGGTGGTAGTGATTAAGGATAAATATCCTAAGGCCCGTCACCACTGGCTGGTCTTACCATGGGCCCCCATTTCCAGTCTGAAGGCTGTGACCTGGGAACACCTTGAGCTTCTCAAACACATGCACACCGTGGGAGAAGAGGTGATTGCAGATTGTGCTGGCTCCAGCAAACTCCGCTTTCGATTGGGCTACCATGCCATCCCCAGCATGAGGTAAACCTAGTGGGTAGTGTTGGTGCCTCCTGGTTCTGTCAGTGTGGACAGATGGAAACAGCCTAGGCTTGTTGAGTGTGCTGATGGCCTCAAGGCCTGGGGAGTAGGGTGGGATGTTTCCAAGGCAGGTGGGCTGAAGCTTCCACTCTCTGCCTGACTTCCTTGCAAGCCTTGAGTTTCTGCTTCTGCTTATAATTCAGTCACATATGATTCTTTGCTCCTTTCAAAAGTTTAAACCTCTGAGTGCCTAAGATAGTACTAGATGAAGCAACTGCATTATACTCAGGTGAAGAATTGTGGTCAGTGACATTTATCAGATGTTTCAAAAGGGTCTATAACTCCAACATGCTTAAGGACTGTGGCTCTGAAGGAAGCATACACCATAGACTTCTATAAGGGCAGCTTCGTAGATCTAAGATTTAAAATAAAACGAGAGAAAAGCGTAGAGTTAGTTTCATTTAGGCTCATACCCAGAAGGACTTGGAAAGGAATGATTGATTCTTTTCAGAGAATGCAAGCAAGGCTGATCTCTACAGTTGCTTTGAGCTAAGTACCAACAAGATCATCAGACTTAATAGGATTTCAGAGTTTTTACCTTGATTTTTTTCTTTTTTTTAACCACTCAGTACTCTCATATTTTATTTAAGTAGATAGTTATGACTTAGAATACTGGCCACTTTAACCAAATGGAACCTTTGTGCCACATTCCCTCCCCCCTCCCCACCAAACTCTTCCTTTTAAATTGAAGCATAACTTACGTACAATAAAACGTGTAATAAGATGTGTAGTTTGATCAATTTTGACAACTGTGTACACCCATGTTATTATCACTGTGATCAAGATACAGAATATTTCCATCATCTCATCTCAGAAGATTCCCTTGTGCCCCTTGCCAGTCAGTCCTCCCTCACCCCCAAGCACTGCTCTGATTTCTTTTAGCATAGATTAGTTTTGTCTGTTCTAGAACTTCATAGAAATGGACTCATACAGTGTGCACTCCTTTGTGTCTGGCTTTGTTCAGTGTAATGATTTTGAGATCCATGTTGTTGCATATATCACGGACAGACTTTTTTTCTCCTGGTTAAATACCTAGAAGTGGATTTGTTGAGTCATAGGGTGGATGTATGCTGTACCTCATTTTATACATATATATTTTTAAATTCTTAAAGCATATTTGAAATTTGAGGAAGAAATCACCCATATTCCTATTTCTGTAACACAGCAGAGCCCATGACCAGTTAGCCTTTTTCACATAGTAATCATGGTGTCCATACCTTTTTCATATGATGAGTGCTGTTGTGTTAGGGAGAATGCTAAAAGCAAGAGCTGTGGCAGGTATGGGTGGGAAGCAAAATGAGCAGAAAGTTAGTAAGCTGCCACTTACTACCCTTTTATGATCATTCTTATGATGTAATTTTGAATAGACATTATAGAAAGGAAAAGGTAGTAAACAAATAGTATTTCCTATTGTAAAAGTAATATATTTTCAATTTAGAAAATGTAACAAATAGAGGAAAGTGTGTAGCAGAATGAAGGTCTTCCACAGCATCATCACGAACTAAACTTTAGACCTTATTTGAATTTCACTGGTTTTTCTTCTAATGCCCTTTTTTTGCTCCAGGATCCAATCCAGTATCACACATTGCATTTATTTGTCATGTCTCCTTAGTCTCTCTCAATCGGTGACAGTTTCTTCATCTTTCCTGGTTTGAATGACCTTGACACTTTACAGGAGTACTGGCTAGTTTTGTAGGATGTCCCTCATTTTGGGCTTATCTGAAGTTTTTCATGATTAGGTTGAGGTTGTGCTTTTTTTTGCCAAAAATTCCATAGAAGTGATGTTCTTAACTAATATCAGGATGGGAATTACATGATCTAGGACATATTTTCCAGTGCTAATCTTCTATAGACATATAAATGATCAACCCATCCTATTAGGAGTACATGACGTTGATATGGTGATGTTAACCTTGATCACATGGTTAAGGTGGTGTCTGCCAGGTTTCTCTGCTCAAAGTTACTGTTTCCCTTTGTAATTGATAAATATCGTGGGAGAGAGATTTTGAGACTGTGCTACTATCCTGTTTCTCACCAAACTTTTGCCCAGTGATTTTGGTATCTATTGGTGGATTTTGCTTGCAACGTTGTTAATATGATGTTTGCCTAATGGTAATTGTGCGTATTCTCTCATTCCTTCTAATTTATTAATTGGAATTCTTCTGCATGGAAGAGCTGTCCCTTCTCCATTATTTATTTATTCAATTGTTTATCCGTATAGACTCATGGATACTTATTCTGTAGGTTATAATTCAATACTATCATTACTTTGTTAGTCAAATTGTTTCATCTTTAGCCATTATAAACTCCTTAAGCTTGGCTCCTGTGTCGTTTTGACATGCCCCCACAACTTTTTTTTTAATTAAATTGCAGTTAATATATATGTAACCAAACGTTTTCCATTTCAACATTCTTTTCATGTACAGTGCAGTGACATCATGTTCAACCATCACCCTTATCCGTTCCCAAATTATACCATCACCCCCTATATATTTTTAGCACTTTCTTATTTTCTGGCCCCACAAGATGTCCAGGCTCATCCTGTATTCTTCCTGTGCCAGCTGTGGAATGGACTACTTCTCCAAGGAGCCCTGCTTCCTTTTATTGGAGAATGGTATTTATATATAAACCAAAACCTGGGCACTAGGTTTCTGTAATGAGAGAAATGGTTGATTCTGGGGTATCATTGCTCCTAGGCCCTCTCAGTAGATAGAGCTAGGAAATATATGTGTGAATATTAGCATGCACAGACACACACATCTGC